TTTCTTTAATAGAAAAAAAAAAAAAAAAAAAAAAAAAAGAGAGAGAAGAAAAGGACCTGATGAAGATGGACAATCCCAGTCACAGATACATTCACAATCACAAGTAAGAAAAAAAGGTGTTGTGTACATGACGTGTTCTGTTTGTGGGGAAAAAGGAGATAACAAAAGGCACCAAAAGTTCATGGAATCACAAGTTCATGGAAGCCAAGAGGGACTTGGAGATTAGAAGCTGCAAAAGCATCTGCAGGGATAAAAATGTGGATATATTTTGTTTTGTATGTTGTTCAGAAGCAACCAAATCTATTTGATAAATGTCGAAGTTTATTTTGTCGTATTTTGTTTTTCTAACTGTTTAGAAGAAGCCAAATCTCTCTGATAAATGTTGGAGTTTATTTTGTAGTATTTTGGTTTTCCGACTATTTAGAAGATAGGATATGATTTTATCTGGAGCAATGTAATTGCACTTGAATTTGATGGGCGTTTTGTGCACCTGCATTTGTTGGTAAATATTGTGTTATGTTTGACTGGAAAATTATCATGGTTTGCTATGTTTGTGGTTGTCCAGTGTCAAGAAATTTGGTCAACTGGAGGATATAATAATAAAAATATTCCATTGATCTACTTGAAGGATGTTACAACATTCCATATTATATTGTTCTAATTCAACAAAATACAGCATATTATATTTTTCTAATTGAACAAAAAATACAGCATATTATAATCTCATCAAGGTCCACCAATACGTGGAATCTCACTGATGAAACACTTCCAATCAAATGAGTGCCCTCATTGATTCTTATATGTTGCTAGTATCACCGAAATCCGAACGATCATATTACAAATCTTTATGTTGTAGGTGTTAACAAGATTTGAAGATTTTCCTACAAAGAAATTGGAAGCATTAAGAATGGCAGCAGCATTAGGATGTTCCTTCACCTAACAATTTCTTCACTATATCAATGGAAATACTTTACTGCACCTGCAACAGGAAAATAAATCTTACATGAGGAAAATAACATCATCCACCTTAACTACATTACTCTTACATTGTCTAAATCAACAAATGAAATATAGTACTCACAACAAGAAAATAAAAACTCCAATGGTAGCAACATGTAGAATCCTAAGAGTTAAAATTTTTTATCTCGAAGCAGGCCTAAAGATTCTTTTGATGTTCATAGCAATTTTTAAAACGGGGGGCATGCACTTGGTATGAGGCGCTAAATCAGCCACGAATTTTTAGTTTGGAGCCACTGACGGGTCTCGCTACTTTGGAGTTTCCACGCTTGCAAATTTCCAGCTACGATCTTTGGTGTTTGGATGTGTCGATTTTCGGTTTGGAGGCACTGCTTGCCAGCAATGGTAACAGAGGTATGAGGAATTCGATATTGGGGAAAAAATAAGGGTTTGCGGTGTTTAATTGATGAAGAATTGTCTACCTTTTTTTCTTTCTGAGTTTTGTTTTGTTTTTTTTCCAAGTTTTAGAAACGTGTTTTTCCTCTTTACAACTTAAATTTTTTTCCACCTCAGTAACAACTCTCTTAATTGGCAATGAATTTGTGGACAACTTGCACAGGTACCCTTCTGTTAGACACGTGGCCAAAATCGTCAAATTTTACTAACGGAATGAAGTCGGTGATGAATGGGATCCCAAATGGCAAAGTTGAGTGACTATCTAGGGGATTTCTAAAGTTCAGTGATCCCTTGGGTACATTCGGCAAAGTTCGGTGACCATTTAGGGTATTAGCCCTGTTTTCATATACTTCAAAAATAGAGAAAATTATGTGTCACCACTCATGAAATCCTTGTAATTTTGATTATTCTCGAACAATTTAAAAGTGAAAAGATCTGGTACTCTCCTCCCCCTAATAAAATGCAGTAACAATGCAGATTAAATCAATAGATATAGGGTACAATTCTACTAATTGCCTTCGTGAAACTCCAAAATATCTAATTAGTTTAGCCATAATTCAACTATTGTTGATTTATGGATGTCTCTGAATTTAAATGGGTCACGATATATGCACCATACAATTCTATTACATACAATAGACAATAACAATAATTTGACACCATGTACATGACATTACGAAAAATATGAATGTTTTATATTTTAGGTTGCAAAAAAACACCATGTGATCTTTTTATATTCCGTAAGGAACATCCGATGAATCCTCTTTGATATTTCACTCTCTGGGACATTACAAATATTAAGTAGTAATGAAGTTTGGATTAAAAAAAGTATCTTATTTATGGCTAGAATGAATTGTAAACTCATTGTGTCTATATTTTCTTATGCATAATGGGATTTGTCTTA